AGATTAATGATTTACATTAGATTAATGGTAATAATGCCGTGGAGGATTAAGGCTCAGGGCTTTGGTTGCTTTTTTTAAAGAAAGCAACCCAAATTCCCTGCCATATTTAAGAAGGCCCTGCTCTTCCCCAGTTTAGAAGAGAACACTGCTCTTGTTAAAATGTCTAATTACAAAGGAAAAAGGAAAACAAAAACAAAAGCTTCATGGAAACATCATTTATTTTGGCTGAGACTTTCTAACAAATACATTAAGTGGATATGTCCTATAAAGGTTTTTATTCTTGGTTAAAACAGTTCCCCCACCCACCCACCCACCCTAATACTGAGTAATACAGTATCTACTATTCGGAGTCTGCAGAAGATAAAGTGGTGCCATACGTTAATCATTAAATGCAGGCTTCAGGAATTAGAGGCCCACATTGACGTTTTACCTAGTAGTATGTTAGTGCTGACACATTTCTGCATCACAGAGCAGGATGCTTTAAATAGAAATATTATAATAATATGTAGCTTTAATTTTTTAAATCTGGATCTTGACTGATGTTGCATTCCTTTCCTGTCAAATCAATCTCTCTGTGAGCATCTCTTCTTGATATGCTTTTGCTTCTCCGAAAGAGCCTACTGAATGTTGTCTGGCTGCCCAAAGTCATAAAGATGGCATAGACCAGGGATGTCAAGGTCCGGGCGGGGGGGGGGGGGCGCAGATGTGGCCTGTGGGACTGCCCTGGAAATAGTGGAGGACTGGCCTGCGGTGCCTCTACCAGCGAAAACGCAGCCCTCCCGAGCTCCGTTTTTGCTGGCAGAGAGTTACACGAGACTGTATGTTTTCGCTGGCAGAGTGCTTGGGCCGCTACATGTGCCCCCGACATGAGTGACATCGAGCGGGCCGTGCCCACCCTGGCCACGTCCACCCCAGCCCCTGAGGTCAAACACAACCGTGATGTGGCCCTCAATGAAATCAAGTTTGTCTCTCCCAAGAACAGTCATTAAGTGGAGGAAATTTAGTCCGAAAACAAAGTACATACAAACTGTAAATAAAAATCCGCACAAACCACGCTGCAGCAATTAACTGGACAGGGCAAGATAAGGAATTGCAGACTTCAAAGGTCAACAAACACACACAGTTGGGAAGATGCCAGGAACACAGATAAGCCACGACAATAAAAAATAACTCACAATTTGCTTCCAACCAGTTGCTGTGCACAAACTCCCTTTTTAAGCACTGTGTTCCCAGCTGCAGCTAATTAAGGGAATCAGGGCCCTTTCCTCCCTCATAAGCCACACAACTCACGTTGCTCCCTTCTCCGTTCCTCCCTGCGTGCCCTAGGATGAAGAGGGGGTGGGCCTGAGTCTTCCTCTGAATTCCCTTTGCCTTGCTCTACCTCTCCCCTGCTCTGCCCAGCCAGACTGTGCCCTTCCCCAGTTTCTTCCACAGCCAACAGAGCCACACCCCCACTCCCTGTCAACTGCTCAGCCTCCCCCTTGGAATCAGATTCCGACAGGGGCATAACATTATCATCATTATTGCTCTGAAAAAGCATTGAAGCTCCTTTTTAAAAAATGTGACAGAAACATCACTTGCACCCCTGTAAATTGGTCTTTTCTTTGCACATTTGACTGGAAAGCAGCAGAACTCTCAAAGCACATGACTTCTCTCTTATACCACCATTCTTAGGTTTATATTTAGCTGCTACGATTTTGTACATGTGACCATCATCTATATGGAGTTAATGTAAACTAACACAATGCATGCTGGTTATATCATAGTAGATGGGATTACAGAGGAGGGGGCGACCTGCCACTTCTCTCTCATGTACTCCTCAGCCCCTGCAGTCTAGGATAGCGGAAGTGCAGCTTAGGTCAATGGCGGCTTCTGCCCACAAAGTGGTCCTTGGTTTCAGAGCAAATCCAGATGCCACCTTGACTAGACACCAGGGCTGTGCCGATTTCACAAATAATTTTATCCTTCACATGTCCCCTAAAGGCAGCTGCGTGTGCAAAGACACACTTCATTCTAGACTCCCAGTTGAATCTGGAAGGAAGTTTCCAAATCGCATTGGACTTTATAATTTGGCCCCTTAATGCCACTGCAACTTCTTTTCAAATTCACCAGGAGTGTAAAAAATACCAGGCTGGTTTAACGATCAGCGGGAAAATGCTGTGTCTGTGCCCACCCATGATCTGAAGCCCTTCCTCTGAGTTTTTATCAAAGCGCACACAGGTCTAATCTCTCTCATCCTCAGATTGGATATCTCTTGCATTTTTATTTCCTTGACAGAGACGGCAAAGAGTCACAGCATGGAAAGAAGCCATGGCTGAAATAGTTCTCTGGATACAACTCTGCACTTGCAAAACCTAACTGAAAACTCACCAACTCAATGACTACCCTGAGGCCTACAGACCCGCCTTGGTATCATTTTTGCACAAAGCAGTTAATTCAGTAATAGTTGGGGACCATCACTGCAAGATAGAAAAGGGGTTGGCTCTCTGGAACCATTATTCATGGTGATTATCAGATGTAGAAGGAATGATTGTGATCCTATTAATATTGAATAATGTATGCTAGTTGGTCGCATATATAGTTTGATACTACCTAAATATTTCTGACTTTCTGCCATAGCTCTGGAAGCGGGAATTGAACACAATCCCTATATGTGTCTTTGTACTGTAACCTCAAAAAAAAAAAAAAAAAAAGACATTGCCTATTTACAAAATCCCCAAGTAAGTGAGCTAACTGAGAGATAGAGTTTGCACGATCAGCCAATAAACGGGTCAACCAACTACCAGTAAATGGTGTATTTGATACCAGTTATGCCAGTGCAAATCCTCCCCACCGCGCAAGCACAGCCAACCCTTGTGGGTGGTTTAAGAAGGTGGATGACTTGGCATCCGAGCCTCGACTGACCCTTTTTCAAATTCCAAATGACATGAGGAGAAACATCTTCAGAACAGATGGGTCACGATGGGTTTTTTTCTGGAGGATTCCAAGTATGGGTTGGCAATCATTTGGGAGAGATATTCTGGCTTAGGAAGCCAGCATTAAGCAGGGGAGAAAATAGAGGCCAGGTAGAGCCACTTTCTGGCCATCTTTCCATTATGCAATTCGTCCCTGGTACCAGAGCTCCTCCATCACAGCCTTGTTCTGGGTTCCTGATTATGAAGGAATAGGGCATTCTCTCTTGTCTTTGGGGAACGACCTTCTGCAGGAATCTGGTCCCTCCATCTCAACTGAAATCTGCCTTAAAAGCCATTACCAAACTGTAATTTTTAACGTGTTGTATGGGGAAGTTACTACATGCATAGGAGCAATTATCAAAATGGTATTTTATTTTGATTAAATTAATTTATCATTAAATCACAGGTTTTGTGCTGTGATTTATAACTTTTGGACTGACAACTTTTGAACTGTGGGCACCATCTAAGTCAAGATAAGCAGGCAGCAAACCCCACATTTACTGATCAGGTTTCCCTAGTTGGGTCATGACATGTTTGCAAGAAAACCACCAAGTTCAGAGAGCACCAAGGATCCCCGCAACCAGTTCAGCCCTGATGTCTTCCTTTCTACCAAAGCCAAGACTGACTTCCTTGCGTGAAGGTATCTGAGCTCTGTAGCTCCCGTAACTGACTGAACAGTTTTCCTTCTGAGTCTGAACTGATCATTTCATCTTTATTTTCTCACTTCCTTCCAAAACATTCTCCTTTTAAAATCATTGTTTATCCTGAGCGATGGAAAACCCGTTCTTTTCAAATGAGTAGCAGGGCAGCGGGTAGCGGAATAAGAAATATATTTTCTCCTTGTCTTCACCAACGTATAAAAACAGTTCACATTATAAAGATTTATGAATGTGATCTAATTTGTAAAGTGACATGGTAAATAAATACTGATTTACACAGCACAGGTAAGAGAACTCAGAAAAATAGCCTATCCCAGTAATTAAACCTGTGCAGGGTCCAGAGACAGAACTCTGAAAGACAAGGGAGAGAAGCCTCTCCACCATTTCTGTCAACCTCCCAAAAGTGTTTCTACTCACAAGGACAAGTCTGTAAGGGCTGGTTGTGCAAAGTGTGCCAAAGAGGGCCTTCACAAAGGAGGTGAAGGGCCTCTCTTGGAAATGCAAAAGCTGCATCCTCAGCAAAGCCCATCCAGGTGCTCCAAGGGCTCTGCCTGTATTCATGGTGCCCAGTACCTGCAGACCGCCCGTTTCTGAGCATACTTGGAGACCGCTGGGGATAACCTTCCAAGCAGCCAGGCGAATCTCACAAAGGATGTTGCTGCTCTAATGTTGTATAGGAAGATGCTTCATTCTCACAAACATGCTCTGCAAATATCTCCTTGTGCAGCCCAGCTAAACTCTACACCACACATTTGGGGATTGCAAACTGTAGAACCTGATGAAGCGAACACTCATCCCCTATTAACAATGGGGTCTCTGCTAGAACTGAGCACCACAACCGATGCATTCACTCTGCCATGGCCATGAACACACCTGGCACTGGAGCTCATGCGTCTCCTTCAGACCAAGCAGTTTAGAACTTAATGGCTACAGCATATTACTCAAGAGCTCTACAACCAAGGATTGACATTCTGATAATAAGCCAGAGCCATCTTGAGCTAGGAAACATCTCAGCATCTCTCCGCTGATACACAATGGAAGAATAAAGGAGTTGCAGCAAACCCCAAAGAATAAGCAAACCTGGAAGAATGAGGCCTAGCGCAGTTGTGCCTAACAACAAAATACACCACGTTGCCTTCAAAGCTCTCTCCAATGTCATCTCCATCCTCCAACAAGCATGCTGCTTATCTAAGAGCGTTTTGCCGGTGATGCGGATGCCAAACTATAAGGACTTAACAGTTCTGGGCACTTCCTTGGCTTCTCAGTAAAGTATCACTTTTCACCAGGTGAACACTCAGCCACTGTGATTAAATTTCACTTCCAAAATGGGGAGCTATTGCAGAAAACCCTTTTAACCTGAGACAAAAGGAAAGATGAAGGGACTTACCAAATTCATCACATACACTCTCATTTTCGACAAGTGTGGGGTGCTCAAATGTGTCTCGACAGTAGAGGATTTGGGACCTTTGACTGATGGCTGCAACACCTCCCAGGGCTAAGACGAACTGGTCTGCTTGCACTGAAGATGGCTTGCCCTGGATTCGTTTCCGCATAGAGCGATAGCGGCAGTACTGGGGGTAGCTGAGGATCAGCACATTGATATTTTCTTCCTCCTCACCTAAGAAAGAAAGAGAGCAGACCGTTACTGACTCCCCAGACAGAGAACCAACCCATCCAACCAACCATCCAACCATCCATCCATCCATCCATCTAACCATCCAATCCATCCATCCATCTAACCA